AAAATTTGGTAATCACGTGACCGTACACCGACCGACCGACCGAGAGACCGTCCGTACCACAGGCATACCAATATAAAATAATTCAATCAACAGCTATCGCAACCGAAATCAACTCAAGGTTTTATTTGGAAAGAAATGGCCGCCCGGACTTTTAGAAAGAAAAAAACAACAAAAAAGCGTCTTTTTTCGACGATCTTTTTGCCGGTTCCACGTGGATAACAGAGAAAGAGCTAGAGCGAGTGATTGAAAACAAAAGAGACGAATTTTGTAGGAAGAAAAACATGAATATTCAAAGCGATGGTGAGACAATGAGAAATGCTAGCGGCCAGCAAAGCGAAAATGAGCGGCAGTGGAAAACAAAAGCGAACATGAACACAGGAGACAAAATATTGGGTAAGCACATACGACAATTCCGCCATAAAAATAATGTGTAACTAGGAAGTTTGACGTTTTAGTCCTACAAAACAGCGTTGCATTTGTTCAAAACAACGGCAAAGAAAGATAAAAAGCGTGCTGCACGTGCAAATTTGCTTTCTTGCAAATTAGAAAAAAAAGTGTGCTGCACGCGCATGCAGTTTGTTTGTTTGTTTGTTTTCTAATTGGATCTATTGATCTTGATGCCATTTTCATTGCCGTCCCCGTTTAGCATTACCCGATTTAATTTTCTTTTGTTTATAAGTGTTATTAACCAGAGCTTCGCTTTTAGCCCTGGCTAAATCTATGTATTATTAGAACGTGTGAGACTGACCTGTAGGTACATAGTCTAATCGACGCAGGCTACGTGGGTTACAAAGCCCAAGTTTCGCATTTCAGGGTTAAAAGTACATCGCTTTAAGACATCGACGGGAAGGAAAAGTTCAAAAGAATGGTTAGTTTCAGTTTATTAGACAAAGGAAGGGTTTACTTAACAAAATTGTCCTTCGAGGAATTCGAAATTTTCTTCATGGCAGATAGTCCAAAAAACGAGACTTGTATAATCTTAATCTTTGAGTAGAAAGCATCACAAAAATGCATGATAGCAAAGATAGAACGGTAGCTTTCACTTTGTAAATCGAATTTTAAATTTGCCACTCAAACCATTCTTTTGGTCGCCATCTTGGATTTATAAACAAACCTTTGATTTGCTCTAAAAACACACGATTTTTATTTGGAAGAATATTTGAACTACTAGGTATCTGAAATATTATTTTAGCATTGTTAAGGTTAGTCAAGATACGATGACGTCATATATGACGTCACAGTGATCGCCTTTTCCTCTTAGAATTAGTGTTTTCAACTGATAATGAGAAAATTGCCATTAACATTAAGTCAACATTGGAAGTGCTTCTTCTTCACGTTACAAACCTGTTTCGTGTTGAAATTGAAAAATTTGACTTTTTATGTGGAAAACGCCAGTTTGAAACAAATTGGTACCTTTCTTTAACCCTTGGGTGACGGCCGGCGAGTAGCAAAAAACTGCACTTTTCACCAAGTCCTCTTCTTTGAACTGGTTTTCGGCTAATTACCATATGTAAAAGAATGGCTAAAATGAATTTTGCAACAAAAAGGCATATTTTCCGACTAATTTCGTAATAAGACAGCCGTTTTTTTTTTTAAGCATGCGCACAAGCCAAAATTTAAACTTTTTATCTGCGAATCTATTTGGATCTTTCTCTCTGGCTCTCTTTTTTACATGGAATTGTGGCTGGCCAACTTTTTAGGAAAGTGACCAATTTAGTCTTGAAAGAGTAGCAGATAAACAGGGCTTGGCAGTGGAAAGATGTTGGCGTATTTTATAATTTTTTTTTACTTTTAGGTTTACTTTTTGGACACTTTTCGGTACGCAGCTAATTAATATTATTTTAAAGTATGTTTTTCTGATTATTCAAGATTTGCGCACTTAGTTTACTACACGGTCACTAAAGCACCGTTTTTACTTTGAAAATTCACGCGGTCGTTTAAATGAATTGTGGGCTAAAATCTCCTATAGTTCAGTTAGACTGAATAAGATCGAACGAGCAGAAATCAATCTTCACACGACTATGAATGACATTGTCATGATATTTCAAAGCCGTTCGGCAAAAGTCGATCTACTATTTCGCAAATACCCACAACAGGGTTTTAAAACCATAATTTCCTACTGTTTACAATATCTTGAAGAGCTCCAGAAAGTCCGCCAAGTTCAAAAAGCGACGCACGCCGCACAGGGACTATGCAAGTTTCATGTCAAATCAAAAAGGAAAAAATAATAAGAGTAATAAAAGGACAAGAAAATGAAATAGTTATGATATGATAAGTACCTAGATATTTATTTTGTTTTATTTAATTCAATATTTATCCAGGGGCATCCAATTTAGTAGAGCTAGTCTAAATGGAGCCCTGTCACACCACAAAAACAGAGACATTAAAATATTAAAATCAGACAATTAATTTAGTTACAAAGACAACATGTACCACAGGCTTTAGCTTGATTTTGAATTCACCGAGGGTCTCTACTTGTCTAATGATTCTCGGTAGGGTGTTGTAGGTCCGAACACCGTTTATTCTGAAGCTACCTTGGTATTTAGTAGTTTTTGCGAGGGGAGGGCGCAGAAAATCACTTCTGGTGTTATAGCCATGGAAAAGGTGCGCGTGTCTAAACTCTGAAAGTAAGTACGAAGGCGCTATTCCGTGAAGACAGTTATGGACTAAGACGTATCTGACATAATTTCTGCTTGCTTGCAGGCTGGGCCAGCCAAGTGTTCATTTTAACTCCTCAGCCCCGATAGATCGACCTTCAATAATACATGCGGCGCTTCTATTTAACTTATATAGATAGCCTTTGCTCCCAGCCCCACAACTGTCCCAGACAGGCGAACAGTAATCGAACAGCAGGACTAAAGTATTGTAGAGCATTTGACAATTTGGCCTGGGAAGAAAATTACGCGCTTGCGATCGACACAGAATACCTAATCTAGACGAGATCTTGTTTCCGATATATTCTATGTGGTGCTTCCAAGATAGGGTGTTGTCTAGTAGGACCCCAAGATATTTAAACTTGTTAACTCTCTCTAAACGCGAGTTACTGATTTCTATAACTAGATCGTCAGCCTCTGCGGTCCTCTGATGGTTACCGACAAGCATAATCTTCGTTTTTTCAAGATTAAGTTTTAGAAAATTAGCGTGAAGCCAGCTTAGGACATTAGTTATGCCACTAGTTAAGTGATTTATATATATTAATATCATGGATATCATATAAGTTAATATTTTTTCTAAGGTTAGCCATGATTTCTTTTCTTTATTTACGTATTTGTCTTCGGTTTTCAAAATATCTAGTAATGCTCCTATAATTAATAACTTTTTTCTTAAGGTCTTCTCTGGTATTTTTTTAAAGCTATTTGACATATCATTTTCTTTGCTCCAACACGAGAGAAGGAACTCTTTTGTCAGGTCTAGATTTTTTTTTTATTCCATTTTATTTTAGTATCTTTATTGTATTTTTTTTTTATGTACCAGTGGTGTGAAGTTAATGAGCGTGTAAAATAGTGATGTGTATTTGATGTCCTAGAAAACAAGTTCAAAATATTTATCGGCGCATCTCTTTCGTCTATGCATTACGCAAAGACGGCTCAAAATCACATTGTATGTATCTGACAAGTTAAAATGTTTTACGCTGCTACTACAAAAACTTTGAAAGTTCTACTACCACCTCAATTATTTTTTCACTGAATAAGTTAAAAGATCGATGCGCTATAAATAACTTGGGCTAGTATTTTCATTAGTGGATATTTCTTCTTTACATTGTTTGTATATTCGAACATGATTCCAAGTTGTGGCAATGACATCAACGTTCTTCGAAAACGCCAATGATGCGCCTCTTGGAATTTACTTTAAAATATTGTTGTTACACTTACAGAACAAAATTCTAAAAATTGTTAAGTAATGGCAGAAGGAGCATTCGAACATTATAACCTACCACTACATGTTTTGCCATCTCCTGTAAATCCTGATTCACATGCACATTGAAATGAACCTTCCACATTAGTGCATACACCGTCTGCAGAACAGTCGTGACCTTGTGTTGTACATTCATCGATATCTATGCAATTTTGATGAAAGCAAAACATAAAACTATGGAAAAAATGCGTATCAGTTGTTGACAGTTACGGCAGGCTTTATATAAACTTACCAACGCATGTGTTCCCATCTCCTGTAAAACCTGATTGGCATTCACATTCAAATGAATGGTCCACGTTAGTGCATATGCCATTTAATGAGCAGTTGTGAGTTTGCGTTGAACATTCATCGATATCTAAAGACGGGTGAAGGAGAATAGAACCTGGAATGAATAGTAATCTCAATTTATCGCTGAACTTATAAAACTCAAACAACGCCGACTGATTTGATATGCCACCCGACATTAGTACCATCGAGAGAAGGCATTCCCATTTTTAGATTCATAAACTTATAGTGGAAGTAAGGCCAGAGGGTACATGTCTTCAGCAGCCTCAGTAACCTACCATGGCATGTTTTCCCATCTCCGGTGAATCCTGGTTTACATTTACACTGAAATGAACCGTCTGCATTGGTGCATTCGCCATTTGGAGAGCAGTCGTGCGTCTGTGTTGTGCATTCATTGATATCTAAAAACAGTTATACCAAAAGGAAAAAAAATACAACAAACAAGTTAAAACATTATTAATTTTCTCCACGTTTATCGTTTTGACTGCATTAGTTCGAAATAATGTATGCTTGACTAAATACGGGGGGAAAGAAACACAACAACGATGATGATGATGATGATGATGATGATGATGATGATGATGATGATGATGATGATGATGATGATGATGATGATAATGATGATGATGATGATGGTGATGATAATAATTTTTATAATAATTTCTTTATTTGCCCTCGGCAGGATTTTTAGGGCTAATGCTATTGTGGCCGAACAAATGCATGAACCAAATAATTTAAATCCAACGTGACGGGATCGGATTAAGAATCCTAACTCGTAAAAGGGAAAACAGCTATTTACAAGAATGCCTGAGACTACCGCGAACAAATCAAGCAGGCGGTCAGAGCAAGACTTAAACTCAAGGCCTCCGAATTGCAAGTCCTGCGCTCTAACCACTCAACCACTCAGATGGTAATGATGATAATGCCCGTTGCAGGCCTGGGCCCGATTCCACGAAAGATTGTCAAGTTCAACCCGGGATTAAGCTAAATTTAAAGCAAGGTTTTCCCGTCTAAGAACATGCAACTCGAGGTTTTAAAATACTGTCGAGCCTTTACTACGAGATAAGATAATGATAACACAAAATGTTACTTTAAGCATTGTATAGGAACAAAATTTTAATCCTGGATTAACGCTAATCGGCCTTTCAGGAACCTGGCCCTTTGTCATTAATTATCCTTTAGTGGTTTTAATTGCCCCCGCAGGGTTTTCGCGCAGAAGGTGAAATCCCGAGAAGAGATCCTAGTACTTACAGTTAAAATATGTCGTCAGCATACCAGAAAAAACCTCGATTTGCTTGAACAGGGGCCGCATGGAATCGTCGGGCAATGGTGACGTTTCTACTGTTAACGCCCGTAAGTATGAAATGGTTTGGATGACGTAAAAGAGAAAATGCCAGAAGGGATCGCTTAGGTTAATTTTGTGACACTTAGTGTACAGTCATACTTCGATACTCTTTCGAGTTTGTGTTACGATTTTTTAGTGACATTCTGAGGAGCAGCTGTTTTCAGAGTTATAAGGGACGTATAACTGTGTAATATATAAACACTTGAAGAGTTTACCACACACGAGTTAATCATAAACAAGCATTCGATTGGAAACGATCGGCGACAAAATTAGTTGCGTCACTTTGCCCTAAAGGGGCTTTCTGACGATTATTCGACCTCCAAAGGGGAACAATGCAATGTTGTGCCACTGTTCGAGCTTCCTATAGAAAATCTGAACAAACACCTCAACTTTGAAAGAAAGGGAGGGAGAGGGGTGTACATTCTTTTGCTGTCTGTTTATAGTTACCGTATTTGAGTACAATGTCTGAACAATTCTGCTAGTTTATCACTAGCAGAACGATGGTCGATTACAGAAATTCACCGACAATAAATTTCTGTGGTAACGTATTCCCTGCTCATATATATATATAGATGTCCTTCTATAAAGCTTTTTTTTAATTATTGTATTAATAGTTTTATTACTATAGAACGTAGTTCTAGTAGAACTACTCTGTAGTGTCAACTACTACTAGTCGTTAATTTATAACCTACCATTACATGTTTTGCCATCTCCAGTAAATCCTTGTTTGCATTCACATTGAAAAGACCCGTCAACATTAGTGCACAGGCCATTTGGGGAACAGTTGTGACTCTGTGTTGTACACTCATCGATATCTATAATGATGGGTGATGGAGAACAAAATGACGACAGCCAATTCGCCGTGACAGTTTAAATTCCTAAAATGTGTCGTATTATCTTGATATTATTGTCTCCATATGTACATTTATGGACTGAAAATATTTCCTAGAGCAGGTGATAACGTTCGTCATTTTTAGACCTTAACTGTTTTAATTAGTTATGCAGGGGAGTGAACGTCTACAGTCACCAAAACCTACCATTGCATGTTTTTCCATCCCCTGTAAATCCTGGTTGACATTCACAGTGAAATGATCCCTGCACATTAGTGCATACGCCATTTAGAGAACAGTCGTGGGTCTGTTTTGTACATTCATCGATATCTATAAAATTATTGTAAACAGAAATCAACTGACCATCAAAACGTTACTTATTTTATTCATTTTTTACACTTTGGTTGTTACATTAGCTATAACTACGTCTGACTGAAAACTGAAAGGAGACACGGGTTAGTTTCTAACATTATTACCCGACTAGACTCGAAATGTCGACGACGATGCCGATGATTAAAATGATGATAAAAGAGGGCCTTGAACAGTAACAAGGCTTGTGATATACGTTTCAGAACTTGTTTTTTGTTAACCTACCATTGCATGCTTTTCCATCTCCAGTAAATCCTGGTTGGCATTCACATTGAAATGATCCGTTGACATTAATGCACACGCCATTTTGAGAGCAGTCGTGAGTTTGAGATGTGCACTCGTCGATATCTATAATTGTGTGATAGAAGACAACGGAAGCGAATTCTTCACTCTTTTACTTAAATGCTCAAAATGTGTCTTACTATTTTAATCTAATCAATCATTTAATGCCGCCAATGAATACTTATAAAAATTATGTTTCCTATTCAGTACCCTGCGTCGGCAGACGTAATTTAATCCTCGGTAGTAACGTCTGCAAAGCAGCGCCGATATACTTGTACTGGGCCTCAAGGGGATGGTCAGTAGTTCTCCAGACATGTTCTGTGATTGGAGAACGAAACATTTAAAATAGAGAGGAGGAAGAGCTACTCTACTACTGACGGGACCCCCCGACAGACTCAGTGAATTACTGGCGGGAAATGCGTTTCAAATTTCTCTTCAACCAAACTGGCAAATTGACAATGGCTTTTTTAACAGACAAATCTTGGCGCTAGGTGGCACACAGTTGGGGACCCAGAACAACAATTACAGCGCTGTTTCTCAGACGGACTTAGAAGTTAATTTCCATCTCCGGTTCAGGCTACCTATTCAGTCGATCGATAGGTGACCTTTGGAGCATATCGTTAGAGCATGCCTTCACCATTTTAGGCCCAACATAATGCCAAAAAAAATTTCAATTGTAATATTGCCAGAAAGTGCAGGCCACATTAACCTACCAGTGCATGCTTTTCCATCTCCTGTAAATCCTGGATTACATTCGCATTGGAATGATCCATCTATATTAGTGCATTCGCCATTTGGAGAACAGTCGTTGGTTTCTGTTGTGCATTCATCAATATCTATAGAATTAATTTAAAAGATACCTTAATAACCAGTGAATTCATATCTTTTGTTTTATCTTTGGGGGTTCCATGTTGGGTATTTGGGTGTTCGAATTATGCCTGAATGAATACTGAAAGCGGGAAACGTCGGTATGTTCAACAGGTGTCGTTTACTTACAACTATAACGTGCGTTTTCGCCTGTATTTTTGGCTTGAGACTGTTGTGACTGTGCTTTTTTGTTTTTTTTTTGTTTGTTTGTTTGTTTGTTTTTTTTACAAGTACACGCACGCTCTTACCGTTGAATGAACGATAAATTTTCAATACGGCACTTAGCTTCTCATCGTGTGTCGAGTCCATAGCACGATAAGCAAGTGCGTGTATCTGTAAACAAAACACGAACTAAACGGTATTTAACCCTTTTGATATTCAATCTGAGTTCACTGGGTATAATGGTCTTGCAATGGCTTCGTATTCATAATAGAACTTAATTTTTCTACAAGTACTTCTTTATCCAAGGTTTCAAAATCTTAACAAGAACATCTGAGTAGCAATCATCCCCGGATAAAAAGAGAAAACATAACTGAAAACTGCATATTCATTCAGCATTTACTAAAAAACAAAATTGACAAAGCTGCACTGTACTGCCGTCTTACAACGACATATGGAGCAGAGAAAATTGCCAAAAAAACACATTCTTTTTGCTTAACTCACAATTGAAACTGAGACACTCGCCTTTATTTGCTGTCTTGCATTTGCTGGTACTGCTCCGTCCATAATTTCACCAATTTTATCCTTTTCAACCTCGAAAATTCTCGAAGTCGAAACAATGTTGAACACTTCACACAGGGGGGAGGGGGGAGGTGTCTCCAAGGAAATCCCTGGTACAGTCCGCCTGCCAGTATGACGTCACGTCTCGCGTCAGTAACTTTCAAAATGGCAAGCAAAGTGTTCATCGAAGAGACGGATAAAAATTTCGATTTCATCACGGAAATACTGTTCCGATTTCTTGAATTTGGAGATTTTAAGGTTTCTATTGTCATAGAGAACTAGACTTGAGTACTTTTTTGGAACGAAATGTCCGGTGGTGTAATGAATTTTAAAGATTCCTTTCTATCGTCGAGCAAATTTTACGGGCAATCAGACCGACCGGTCACACTCTTCAGGGCCAGTGCACAGCAAGATTGAGGAGTTTAGACACAGCAATAGGAGATTCATCAAAGGATGTATTATACTTTACATTGTGCGTATTTTCAGCTCTTCAGAACTAGTGGAACCCCATATCATTTCTCTCAAAGTTCACTTAGCTGTAGCGTTGAAAGAGGAAGCTAAATGACAGGTATTTGTGAGAGACTGTGAGCACTGAATCTTGTTGCTTAACCGCATTTTAATACTATATTAGGCATACACCTGTAATTCTGTAATTAAAGCCCGAAAACCTATAAAAAGTTTCGTTTAATTAATTTTTTGGCGCAAACCCAGTGGAGATTTTAGCGTAATGATATTGATGATTAAGACGATGTTCAAAAGGCAAGTTTAAATTTCGGTGGGTGTTGGGCGAAACTAGTACAGTTTGTAGTGTACTGTGTGTTGTTTGTCATGATGTCAACTAACACTGAAAAAAAAATCAGCTGTTTCAGAGGATGAACATGTCTTGACAGCTTATGTTTTTTTTTTTTTTTTTTTTTTTTTTTCTGGTCGTAAGCTTGGTCAGTATTCAGATCAAGAGCTTTTGAAATACCTTTTCCAAAATAAAACTTCGGAATTTAAAATATATTATTGATCCGAGTGCATGACCAGCAGGGTCAGCAGTAAGAATAAAGAAAAACAGGCCAAAAGGAAAAATAGTGTTGAAAAAAAGAGACCAAACAGGAGAAAAAACAAAACGGTACAAAGAAACAGAAAACCGAGTTGCCGGGAGTAGAACCCGGTTTATCTGCACGTTTAAGCAACTCCTTGACCACTGCACCACGGTGACACACGTGATTTGAGACATTTATTTTGTCGTATCAAAACAATTTTTCTCTGTTATAGACGCTGTTTGAAGCTGGTGGAGCTGTATTTATCATCAATTTAAATATACGTTTGAGGAAAATTAGCTTAAGCGCTTATTTCAAAGCTATTTCGCATTATTTCGGGCTCAACGGACCGACTCGATGTAGATAATTGATCGAACTAGCTTTACTGAATTTGGTGGAGAATTAGGAGATCAACAGAGGCCCACACTCGAAAGGAATGATATGAAGTTAGGCCCGTTTAATTAGCAAAAGAATAGATGAAATATAAACATGTGTGATCTGTGAATGGAACCTCCTATTCTGGAGACTAGACCCTGTCTATTTTAGAGAAAAAAAATTTAAGTTATGATGACCTTGCCGGTCCCGTGAAATAGATGGCGATCCCGCAACACGCCCCGCAAAACAAACTAACAAAATTATACAATCACGGACACAAAATATCAAAACGCTTTTCACAAGCAGATTATAGCAACACCAAAGCCCACACATTCGATCAAATGAGCGATATATCGAGATATTTGCTAGCTTCTTAGCTTTTCCTGACCTCGCATCCCTTGCTAATTTGCCCAAGCGACCCGAGGCTCTTGACCGTTACTATGTGACGTCATACTGGCAGGCGGAGGGGGTCAAGAAATTTAGGTGGAAAACAATAGAGTTACCTTCCCCCCTTGACTTCATTGTTCTTATGTGTTATTGTCAATGACACGTGAACTCTGTGACTTAAATGTCACTAGGTAACGGCAAATCATGTGACCAATTTTAACGAATGGGGCGCGCGGATTTTAGGCAGTGAACGAAGATTGTATATTAATTATATTTTAAACGTACCATTGCATGTTTCACCATCCCCCGTGAATCCCTGTTTACATTCACATTGAAATGATCCTTCTACATTGGTGCATTCGGCGGTTGGAGAGCAGTCGTGTGTTTGTAATGTGCACTCATCTATGTCTATATAATGAAATAAAGAAACTAAAGCAGGGGTAAACAAACACGTTGGTAACAACACAATTCGAAATAGGGGGGAAAGGGCGACAAACCTCTACCATCCTATTACTAACCACTACAAGTTTTACCATCTCCTATAAATCCTGATTTACATTCACATTGAAATGATCCGTCAGAATTAGTGCATACTCCATTGGGAGAGCAGTCGTGAATCTGTGTTGTGCACTCGTCGACATCTATAAATAAATGATGTAAAAATACAATAACGAAGGCATAAATTCTTCGTCACTGAAAGCTAAATAGTTTCGTTTAATCTCAGCGTACGTCTAAATGAACACTTTACCATTTAAGGACATTGTAAGGCCATACTCATGCTCTAAATGCGTCAGGGTTCAGCCACCATAACCTACCATTACATGTTTTTCCATCTCCTGTAAATCCTGGTTCGCATTCACATTGAAATGATCCTTCCACGTTAGTGCATAGAGCATGTATGGAGCAGTCGTGAGTCTGAGTAGAGCATTCATCGATGTCTATAAAATTGTTATGAAGCAAAATATAAGTAGGACAGTACGTAGTAATTTTCTTCATTTTCTTCATCCTCGAGTGATTTACATTGCCCAATTCAAGAAGTAAGAAGTCTCGGCCAACTCCGTGATGCGGCCAGTAAGCATGTACAGAGCTATATTCCCCGTACAGTTGCAAAGGACACCTGGTCATACCGCGTAAGCATTATTTTGCTGAATGTAGTCTCGTTTCAAAAACTTGGCTCGAATTGTCTCTGGCAGAGTTATAGTAATAATAATAATAATAATAATAAGAAGAAGAAGAATCGAAGAAGAAGTAACAATTCCATTGATTATTAAGCGGGGTTGGGCGGGCGAGGGTGGTTGGGTTTAAATAGGTTTAATGTCGTCGTGATGTGTACGGTAAAAAAAAAAAAAACAAACAAACAAACAAACATACAAACAAACAAATTACAAATTTATGACAAATTTATCAATGGCTTGGATAGATTATACGAAGGTTTATGATATGGTGCCCCATCCGTGGATGGTGGGTGCAGCCAAGAATATGATCTCTATAATCAGCAGCTGTTTTGTGAACTGGAAGACAGTGTTGACATCAGGTGGAGCGGAGATTGGTCAGGTTGTCATCAGAAGAGGCATCTTTCAAGGAGACTCTTTGTCACCCTTGTTGTTTATAGCAGTCATGCTGCCACTGACACAAGTGCTGCGAAAGATAAAAGCTGGGTACAAAATGGCGAAGGGCATGAGATACAGCGACCATCTATTGTTCATGGATGATCTGAAGCTATATGGAGCTACCAAAGACCAACTTGACTCTCTCATTAACGCGGTAAAGATCTTCTCAAACGATACCAGGATTTTACTTGGACTAGAAAAGTGTGCTGTCTTAGAAACTGGGAGCAGGGGCAGTGGAATAGTCCCACCTGATGACCAGAACATCGGGGAAGTTGAGGAAGAGGGCTACAGATATCTTAGCATTTTAAAATTGGACCAAATCCTCAATACCCCCAATACTAAGATGAAAGGCGAGATAGTTTTCGTGTAGATCAAAATTGAATGGCGGGAATCTTATAGGTGGCATCAAAGCTTGGGCTGTCGGTGTGGCACGCTAGGTAATGCGGGTATCGTGGATTGGACCGTTGAAGAAATAGTCAGCGTGGATAGCAAAACTAGAAAGGTATTGGCAATGAATGGCTGTCTGCATACAAGAAGTAACGTCGCCAGACTGTATTTGTCGAAAAAGGAAGCGGAGAGAGGGTTGATTGGTGTAGAGGAGTGTGTAAAGGAGGTGTCCAAATCCTTGCATGGCTGTGGCAAGATTTCATCATTGGGTTAAAAACAAATAGCATATTTGAGGTTTTAGTTGTGTGGGGCATTCAAAAAATAACCAGTTGACGTCCCCCATTTTAAATTTAGGGGGGTAATGAACATGAGCGAAAAATTCGGGAGACTAGGCCGAGGACCGTAGACAGTCAACTTTTATCACATGGCAGAGAAAATTTGCAGGAAAGTAACGTTCTACCTGATAATTTTGTTTCATTCCCAAAAGAGAAACATGACGTCATCATTCACTTGATCAGAGCGTTTTAAATATTTTAGTTCGTTTGTAAAGTACATTTTTCGCCAGAAATTGGAACGTTTTTGTTGTTTTTCTCTAAAAATCTTAATGCTTTATTACCCCTTAGTAATTATTATTTCATTTTCAAAGCAGAAGCAAACGAAAACCGAGCCAGAAGTTTAAAAGTTGCGTAAATTAGCGATATTGCAAGTTAAAATCGAAAAGGAGACCTACTCTTGAGACTTTTGTTAAATCATTTTTCAACTTATCAGTTTGGTTGCCAAAATGAATGTTCAACGCTTTTTTTAATAAAGGAGAACTTTAAAAACTAAAACGATGTATTTGGCGGCCATTGTGTTTTTCTTCATTCCGGGGAGAGAGGTCATGTAGCAGCTCTTCTAACCTAAACGCCAAATGGTTTGCTACCCTAACTTAAAAAATGGAATTAATGATGAACAATGTTGTGTTGATGTTTTCCCCGACCGATGAAAAGGCACCTTACGAGCAGGGAGAGAATCGTAAAGTCATTCGGTTCAGTCGGTAGCTTCGCGATCGATAGTTCATAACTTTCTTAACGGTTCCCCGGCATGGACCAGGCCTGAAAGAGTATTAATGGGTTTATTGTGAGCTTTACGTCTAGCTTCGATCAGTGAAAGATTTAATTCTACACTGAAATTAAAAACAACAACAACAACAACGAAAAAAGTCATCCTTGAAAACTGTCAATCCCCTTTGGGAAGGAATATATACCTCTTTTAAACTCGAAATCTCAGGGTTTACCGAGGTGGTCCAGTAGATAGAGGGGTTAGCTTTTAGTACTAACTGATTCTGAGTGTCCGGATTCGAATACCCTTGCAGCAAATTTTCCGAAACCTCTAAAATCTCTTTTTCACTTTTTTTTTTTTTTTTTTTTTTTTTTTTTTTTTTACCTGTGTAGTGCATATTGCTAGTAACATAATGTGGTAAATTGGAAACAAAGTTTACAAAATATGAAAAATGCGGAACTTATTATAGCGCCTCTACCGGTACAATTTAGTAATACTGGACACTGTTATCATTACCCAGCTCAGTCGTCGATTTTCAGATGTGCCCAATTTAATTCGACAGGTTACTGCTTTTGGGATGTCTGAATCAACTAAATTCGACAGTTTCAAATTAAATACGACTTTGTCGAATCTACGAGTGAAACAGCTGAGAATTAAGCGACTTAGGTTCAACGTTTGATTTAGAAGTCGCATTTTACATGTGCTGAATAATATAATGCATTAATAATAGAAACCCTTATCGATATTGGATAAAAAAAAAAAATCCTAGAGACTGGGAATATCTACAACAAACTGAGTTTAATTCGGCACCATCATATCCGACGTCTGAATATGACTGCCGTATTAAATTACTTTCATCGACTAAAGTAGGTTTTCAGCAGTCGTGAGAAATTCCACCTTTAAAAGGGGCCAAACATGACAAAAGTTTCAGCTGAGTGGTTTGCAGGCTGTTATTAAGTAGGTGTTTCCTTTTCAGTGAGAGCAATTCGTATCTCCCTTAGCCTGAGTATAGCTGGCGGGATTCTTGTGTCCGGGGTACTTTCTTGGCGGCGGAGCCGCCACGCGAAGCGAGTGGCGAAGCCGAGAGGGAAAATCCCGCCTGCAACATTTCTTAAGAGTTTTGAATGCTGCCCACTTTTATCACCTTGTTTTGAACCATTTGATTACCCAATCAGGAAGAGTGGTGTAATGATCAAGGGCTCTTTTGATGTTGCGCTCGGATGGATCAGGGAGTTTGCAATACTTGACAAAAGGTATTATTGTCTGATGCGCTTTTGTTGTACAGCCAATTTCCAAAAGAGATTAGTTCCTTTTTAAATAAAGTATAGCAGAGGACGTGTCTTACATTTTGAGATCCATTTCCTTCAAAACATGTCTTTCGAGGATTTCTTTCGAGCGCGAATCTTATTGAGGAGTGGAGCTTGTTTATAACTTGCTAAATTTTCATTTCCACATATCATGAACGCACTAACTTTCCCTTGGGAGATAGCAGAGATATCAATTATCATTTGATTGGCGTTTAATAGCTTTAATTCTCAGCCAGTTAGAAACTCCCGTAA